TCCCCCATGCCCGGGGCGCCCGCAGGGCCGGGGCTCCCACACGGCCGGGGCTCCCGAACAGCCAGGGCTCCCGCACGGCCGGGGCTCCTGCACAGCCGGGGCTCACACACAGCAGGGCTCCCACATGGCCGGGGCTCCCGCACAGCCGGGACTCATGCATGGCCAGGGCTCGTGCACAGTGGGGCTCCCCCACAGCTGAGGCTCATGCACAGCGGGACTCACACACAGCGGGGCTCATGCATGGCCGGCGCTCGTGCACACTCTGGTGTAAAGCAAAGCAAGACTCGCCTCGAAGTTGTACTTCCTCATCTGGCTGAGCCGCCGGCAGTACAGGTAGAGCATGCCGATGCTGCTGCCCACCGCGATGTAGTCCCCGTTGGCATCGAGGGCCGTGAGGTAGACCACGACTGAGCGGAAGCCCTTCTGGATCTTGGTGGGAATGGCGTTGAGCAGATAGTACAAAGGGCAGAACTCTCTGAATGTAACAGGCTCTGAGGTCGACGCCATGGCCAAGGTTCCCACAGATGATCTTCAGGCAGGAAAAGGAATGCTTGTCATCTAGGGAACCTGGGGGCTAGAGAACAAGGGATTATAACTCTTTAATGCCTAGTCATGCCAAAAGAAAGAAGTCACACTTAACAGTGGGAACAAGAAACTTTGAGGAGGGTAAAAATCACAGCAGGAGTTTAAACAGAGAATGCAAACGAGGTGTCACTGAGATCACTTTAGAGCATTTGTAATTCAAAATGCACTTTAATGTGCACTGGTCCCTAAAATTATGCTATGGTAAATGTCGTGCAGGAGTGGAAATAACATAAAAACAGCTCTACTCTCAAACAGCTCATACTCTAGCCGGGGGAGGCAGAGGAAACCAAGAGACACAAAAGCACACGTAATCCAGTGCTAATCTCTGGGTCTCCATGGGTTTACAGAAGATCAACATGGCTTAGAGTGGAGAAGGTTTTATGGAGAACACCCTGAACCAGGAGGCCAACGGGGTACAGTGAGATGCGGAAAAGAGAAACAGGAAAAACACTCTGAACTGTGACAGTACAGGCCCAATCTCAGCTACTGTGTTAATGAGACAGAGAGGAAACCGGTCCCCGGCTGGATGGCCACAGACCCTCACTGCTCGCCTGGAGCCCAGCTTCACAGCACCTGCATTTCCATAAGGAGACTCACAGCTCCTTGCATGTGGGACTCAAACTGTCCCTTAACACACACACTCAACCCTTACACGGCATGCCACGTTTAACAAAGTGCTCATTTGGGATTAGCAGATGGCATAATGGCTATGTCGCTGGACTCCCATGTAGTTGACTGTGGTTCGAGTCCCAGATCCAGAGGCTTAAACTCAGGCCAGGCACATGTGCATGCGTGCCCAAGATCCCGAGAGGAGAATGGAGGAGAAGGGACTGTGGCATGGCCATCCCCCCCAGGGAGTGATTTCTCACTTTCTATCTCTCTATCTCTCTCTGTCTTTCTGGTGAGCGCACGCACCCTATAGCAAAAACCTCTCCAAAAGCAAACAAACAAACAAAACACAAACAAATAAACAAACAAACAAAAAACAAGTGCTCACTCACTGTATCCTCTCTTGGCCCTGAAAGCAGTGTAATCCCCAACTTCAGAAGGTATTGAGGGCCAGAGGGTCACGAGACTCACTCGGAAGACAAGGGGAGATCCGAATGGAGGTGCTTTCCTCCAAGTGCTAGGCACCGCCCACCACTACAGTCACAGCTCTGGGAGCTGACATTTATAAAGGCTCACTGTTGAAAATGTATTATAGAAAAGTACGAACAAGTAAGTCACTCCCAATCCCATCCTACAGACAGGCTATATACACGGCTGGCTACAGATATGTGTGTGTACCTACACACGCGTAGACTGTTTTTCACTTAATACATCATGAGCATTTTCCATGTTGTTATTCTCCTAGAACTAATTGCTAATGACTACACAGAAAAATCTCAGAAAATACCTATATGGATAAATCAAAATATTCCACCCAAAAAAAAAGGTTTTGAGAGGTTTTTTTTTTTTTTTCTTTTGCTATACGGTGCATCCACTCACCAGAGAAAGAGACAGAGTGACAGAAAGACTGACAAAAAGCAAGAAATCACCTCCCAGGAAGGATGGCCATATTGCAATCCCTACTCCTTCAATCTCCTCTTGGGATATTGGGCATGCACAAACATGGGCCCAATGTGAGTTTCAAGCTGCCAGGTCTAGGACTCAAACTGTGGTCAACCACATAGGAGTCCAGTTCCTTAACCACTACACCATCTGCTGGACCCCCAGACAAAATGTTTTAATTCCACCATCATAAAGACCATAGACAACATCTCAGAATATTCTCAGAAGTTGGGGCCGGCAGGTGGCGTGCTGGACACTCCCACATGGTGCTGGACATGGCCTTAATGGAATATGTCACCGGGTTAGTATTTTAAAAACCACCTTGGGGCCGGCAGGTGGTGTGGCGGTTTAGGTGGCTGAACTCCCACATGGGTGACAGCAGTTGGAGTCCCGGACTGGCAGGTTGGTTTGTCACTTTTCTTCTCTTTCTGGTCAAATTCAAACTTCTCTTTCTGGTCAACTTCAAAAATAAAATAAAGTAAAATAGTTAAGGTGCTGGACACTCCCACATGGCTGACCATGGTTCAAGTGCCAGACCTGGTGGCTTGCTTTCTCATTTTCCCTCTCCCTCTCTGGTCAAATTAAAATAAATGAATAAATAAAATAAATAATTCTTTTAAAAAATATTCTTAGAAGTTATGTTTTAAGAGGTGAAAATATTGAATTAAATAAAAAAGTGGGCAGCACGTGACTCGGTGGTTACGGCAGCTGGATCCCACACGGCTGACTCTATGGCTCACATCCTGCTCCAGTGGCGTGACAGACACAGAGTACATGAGCATGAGTGCATGCATGCCCAACAGGAGAGTGGAGAAGGGCCTGTGCGGGGTACACTCTCTCTCTCTCTCTCTCTCCAGCTAGTGCACATGCCCTACAGCTAATTAAAAAAAAAGAAAAGAAAAGAAAAGAAAAAGAAAAAGAAAGAAGTGTGCCAGCGTTGTGGCCTAGTGGTTAAGGCAGCTGGGGCCCTTACGGTTTGAGTCCTGGACCCAGTGGTTTGAGAAACATGCTGGGTATGTGTGCATGTATGGGCAAAATCCCAAAGTGAGGGAGAGGTGGAGGAGAAGGAATTATAGCATGATCATTCCCCATGGTGGAGAGGTGTGGAGGGGAGTTTCTCCTTTCCCCCTCTCTCTGTCTAGAGATCACACATGCCCTCTAGTCAAAAAAATATTTCTGCAAAACTGTCTTCTAGAATGGTCATACTATTATGCTTCAACATGTTTTTCCAAAAGACACCTAGAGGCCAGTGAGTCACAGCGTCAAGAAGAGGAAGGGAAGCCAAGTCTGAGCCAGGCTCCCAGGAAACCATAGCAGGTGCACGTGGGCCCATGCCTTCTCCCTGGGTGGGGGCCTGCAGGTCAGCTCAGCACCAGCCTGCCAGACCCTCACCCAATATTCAGAGGGAGAAGCAAGCTAAGGGTGACTCCCAGCACAGCTCCTCACAGGAAGAGGCATCTAGAGGTGGGCTGATAAAGAAGTCTACAGCCATGCTTCACTGTTTGGGGATAAGTCTGGGGAAAACAAATAGACTCAATAAACATTCTTGCTAAGAGTTTTCATTGAACACCCACCACTGCCACCCTTATCCAATTTTCACACAAACCCATCCTACTCCAGGTCTCAGACCCACTGCCATACAACTGACCCTCTTTTACTATAGAAAAATAGCACAGGAGTGGTTAATGACGCTGGGGTAAAAAAAAAAAAAAAAAAAAAAAAAAAAAAAAACCACAAAACACGCTGGGGTTTAAAAAAAAAAAAAAA